TGAGGGATCATGTGCTTGTGTGAGAGAGAAAGATGTGCACTGGGGTCCGGCCCTGCCACTGCCACTGAAATACAGTCTTCATAAAGCCGGGCTATGGCTTTCCCTTTGCCGTCTTCTCCCATTCTTCATTCTTCAAGTCTCAGAAGTCTTAGAAGTCACTTTCCTGTAGTCAACTCCAGCTGTCCCCCACCCACACTCACTGGGCTGGGTGTCCCTCCGAGGTGTCCCTCTTCCCCAGCACCTTTGCTGCACCCATCTCTGCACCTAGCAGGCTCTGTGGTGATGACCTGTTTCCATTTCTGAAGCCCCCTCTGGGCTGCAAGGGTTGGGATCTCAGGTGGATCTGGATCACCTCCTGTGCCCTGACTCTAGCACAACATGTATTAAATGAATCGTCCTCCTTTTCCTTATCTCTAAGATGGGGGCATACTGTGATTTTACCATGTAGTTTTTATATCAGACTTATTAAATAAAGGTGCCACTGGGTTTTGCTGACATGTCTCAATGTAGGACATGTTGTCCTCTGTATTTCCGCCTGTGGATGGGCCCCCCAACCATTTTCTGGCCTTGGTGTAGTCTGTGAGCCTGGTCTAAGGGTTGTCTTGGGAGTTTTCATAGTAGGTTGGCTGAGTGTTCATGAACGTGGTCTTAGCTGACCGCCTAACAACAGGGCTTCGAGGTGAAGGTTCTTTGCTTCTGTCTTGCTTGCACCCAGATGGCCAGCCACAGGCCACACGTGACACGGTGGCTCTGCCTTCATGTGTGAATCTGCAGCAGTCGTGGAGCCCTGGTGTCACATATCTGCCTGCCCGCTGTGTAAGTGGGCGTGTCTGTGCACATGGCTGGGTGTACCTGTGTCAGAGCCAGCAAATGGTGGAGGAGTGGCCCTGGGTTTTCTGGACAGTGTGTCTCTGTATAGACTATGCGCGTACCTTAGTGAATGAGTGGTTTTCAATTCAGCAAATAATTATTGTGATCTTTGTGCTCTGCAAGAGCAGTATCACAGTCCTACAGGCAGGGAGCCTGGGGTGTGCATGTCTTACCTGTGTCTGCATTGTGTGTTCCCTCTGCGTGTCTTTGGAAATGCGTTCTTGGCACGTGTCTTGCGTTGACAAGGCGTTCGGTGTGTGCATGTCTGTGACAGTGCCTAGATCCTGTTTGCGGCTGCTTGCTTGTATTCCAGCTTTAATTGTGCCCGCAGTCAGGCTCTGCACGTGCGCCAGTCTCCATGCGCACGTCCCCGAGTGACCCGTGCGCGGTGTGCAGGGACCTCCAGGTCGTGTGCATTTTGTGTGCTCATGCCTGTCTCTGCACTAATGAACGCACCTCCACATGTCTGGGTGCACGTCCCTCTCCATGTGTGCACGTTCCGTGTGCACGCCGCCCATGTCTGTGTGCTGGAGCTTTTCACGAGCGCGCGCTCCAGCCCGCGGGCGGCCAGGGACCCGCGCTGGGCTTCACGCGCCCCGTGGGGCTAACCCCTCCTACCCCCGCGCCCCGCAGCGGGCCGCAGCGATTGGCCGCCCGCTCCGTCCCAGCCGTCACCCCTCCCTTCCCCCGCCACCCGCGCGCCCGCGGTCCCCGCTGTCCCCCGCGGTTCCGGCGAGGCCGCGCCGCGCTGCGCTCCGCTCCCATTGGCTGCGCGCGCCTTTGTGTGGCGGCAGCTGCGGCCCCAGCGCCTTTGAATGTCGAGAG